TATCTCTGGAGCGTGTTATAAATTTGCTGCAGTTCAAATTGGTCGCTTTGGACTCTATGATGATGCAAGCATTCAGGATTTGAATGGAAGTTTGGAATGTGCCACATTACTAGGTGCTTTTGTATAGCAAATTACGGATGGAGAGTGCTTTGTTATTTGTTTTATGGAAGTGTATTTCTAAGGAAAAGTGTTGATAAACTCCAAAGACATTTATTAGAAGTTGTTCTTTAGAGTGGTTTTCGGTTACTTCGAAGGTCAGGCAGAGAAATTAGAGAACTCTTGAGTCTATGCGTTCCATTATCACCTAAATGTTGGAGTTACTTGAGAACTCCAACATAAAAACATATAGAATATATTCGAGTTCTGTTCTTTTCTGTGCCTTAACTTGTATTCAAAACAAACTTGAGCTTCTGTAACTCAAACCCTAAGGACTACGAATTAATCCCCTGGGGAACACAAGGCCAACGATATTAGTCGGGGCTTTGGACACCCACAGAAACCCTCAAGCTCCAAAAGGGAAAACGCCGTTGTCCCCAATTAGAGCACCCTACCAACCCCCATTGGCTTTGGCTTTTGGGGGTGCAGATCCGCCATAAAAAATACTCCGCTTTCATGTCACGCATAATTGAAAGCAACTTCCTATTCAGTGGGCAACTCCGACATCAACAGAGATATCAACCACCCCCAAAAGCGAAGGCCAGAGACCGAAGGAGTCGGGAGGTTCAACCCTCGAAGCTTGTGCCCCACAAAGCATGTCAATGTCATGAATATTATTGACATGGATTTCCACCCACACAAAATAAACCCCTTACCCCTTACTCCTCCCTTGCGGCAAAGTACGCCATATTCTTTCTAGGGGGCGCATTTCCGCGGAAACAAAAGAACAAAAAAAAGGAGAAGCAGAAAAAAAAACTGTGAAGGTCAACCCCTTTTGCCAAAGCCCGGAGGGGAGTTTTCCCCATGTAACTGAAGTTGCCTTCGATGGCCTGTCAAAGCCAGAGTCTGATAAAAATCGATAAACGACAGACGGCGAACGAGGAACACCGAACTCCAAATGGGCGATGTGGAGCCCCAGAGCCCAACCCGCTTATTGTCTCGGTCAGCGGACTTGTCGTGCCATTAGATTACCCCGCTCGACAGCCTGAACCGAGCTGAACCCGACTTGGTTTCAGGGGCTAGTCGAATTGCAGCAAAAATGCAGTATGAGTCTCTGTTATCGCCGAATTGGGGTACTCTTGGATGTCCAGAAATTCCCTCAAAAGACTTTCATAAGAGCTTGTCTTATTTTTCAAATTATTGTAGAATATATTTTCTTATTTGCATATTTTTGTGTAGCTCAATACAACTTTCTTACATTTGAGATTTATTAATAAATTCCCGCGGTCCTTAATGTGACCTTAAAAGTAGCCTAGTGTGACCATGCACCTTAACGAAGCATTTCATCCTGATTGGAAGTAAAGTGACCTAGCTGGACGAAAGGATTAACCACAATTATCATTCTAAGATAGAGTATAGGAACTTTAGAATCTCTTGGTATGCAGTTGAGGTCGTGTCCCGACTGTTGTTGGGGACTGTTGTAATGCGATAGCGGCGCTACAAGAACTTGAAGCGGGGCAGAGGAGAGGGTGGAGTGCCAAGCCAGCTAATTGCCATGCACTTTTCATAAGCCAAAGCGAAGGCAGTCCGGCAGTATTATTAGGTAAGCGTAATTAGATCATGGCTAAAACCAGCAGTCAGCTTGACAGCTTGAACTAGAACCAAGTGTCAGCCCGGAGGGGACTGCTCTACTTCGAATAGAAAATATAAATAATTTAGATATTTGTTAAATATGTGTGTAATTTAAGACTTTGACAAAGACTTGAATTGCAAAATAATAGAGAATTGTTGTGTGCTTATAAGGAATCTGAAGGGAGGCTATAGAAATCTCTACTACTCTAAAATCTCATCAAAAAGATTCTAAAATGTTTTGTACATTGTTACATTGTAAAGAGCCATTTGCTTCCACAACTGTTTTATTGCTTACTTGTTGATTACTTTTTAAGAGATCTTCAATCTTTTTTCTTTCTTGTTTTTCTTGCATAAATGAAGTTTTCATTATTTGATTAGTAATTTCAAATCAAAACCTTAAAAAGCTGTCGAAAAACTGCGCTACATTATATTTTTGGCACTTAAAAAATATTATGGCATACTTTTAGACACATTTTTTAAAGGATTCAATACCCTTGTGATTTCTGTATGGGTGGCAAATCCATTCCAACTTCTGGAACAAATCTCCTTTCCAAGGTTAAAGCTTTGAAATCTCAAGTCCATTTAATTTGCATTCCATCAACCGTTACCCCCACAAGCACAGACACACACATACACAGATCAGGAAGGCGCATTTACTTCCGCTTCCAACAACTCCACAAAAACAAAATCACATGTGTAATCTATGCTGGTGTGGGTACAGTGCCATCCCAAATACAACAACAACACAACGCCAGAAGAGAGTCAGAAAATGGTAGAAGGCGAAAAGGTAAAAGCCGAGAGGCCAAAAAGGGAAGCCATCGTCGAAAATCGCTTGGCTGCATTTGTTGGGCCTTGAGAGGGTCTCAGAACCCCCCTCATACTGCCATAACGAACATGCACACACACACATGCAAGCGTATAAAATCACATGTATGAGTATGTGATATGAGTATTTCCCTGAAAGCCAGAACATGAAAATCAGCAAAAACCAAATGCTGACCAATTCACTTCTTGTCTCTCTTTTACGCTCTATCTCATTCTTTCTCTAGACTGAACACCCACACAAGCTCAGCTGAGAACGATTCTTGATGGAGCAGAGTGAGAGAGAGAGAGAGAGAGAGGGCATCGTTCGAATTGTGGCGTTTTGATATAAAACAATTTTTGTTTATTTTCTTTTCTGCTTAATTCACACACACATATACACAGCCATGCCGCCTATCACCCTGTCTACGAGTGTTTCTGTTCTTCTTTCTCTAACCCCAAAAAGCAAAAGACGAGAAAATAAACTGACGCATGCTTTTGCTCTCTCTCTCGCTCGCTCTCTGTCTCCGCTCTTTTGTCTCCCCCGCGGCGCATGTGTTGCGTCTTATACTGTATCTGTGTGAGTTTCTCCGAGTACTTTTGCTCGAATGTATGAGTGTGGAGCTGCCTTCGTTGCTGCGTCTTCTTCGTGGTTGTACTTCGCCGTCGCCGTCGTTGCCGTCGTCGGGCTTGTTGTTGTTGTATGCAAGGTCGTTTGCGTACAAAATTCAACATTATTTGAAGGTCGTCCTTTGCCCGTTCTACGTTCTGCGCGTCGCTTCTTACTCGTTCTCGTGCGCGCTATCTCTTTTCTTCCTCCCGGCTCCCGGCTCTCGGTCTCTCCCTCTCTGTTTTGACTTGGCCGATTCTTTTGGCGTGCAGTGCGTGGGGTTGTTGTCTCCACTAAACAACAAAGATTCATCGCCCTTCTGTCTCTTCTCGCTTTCTTAGGGGTCGCGCGAGTTCGTTTCGAATTGTGTATTTCCTTTTAATTGCATTGCAACACACTGGTTGGGAAATGATGGAAACCCCTCACCAGGCAGCGCCCACGCTATCGGGTACATCTACCCCGGGCACCCCTTTGTTGCCAGGTGACCTCGCCCTGCCCTTGTCACCGTACAGTGTTCTATCGTTAAGTCAGTCAAGGTTATTTAAACAATGGCAGGTTTTTAAGTTTTAATTATTTTAGTTTTTATAATGTTTATATTTTTTTATAGACCATTAAACAGTTTTTCTTATGTACATAGCAGCAAATATAAAGGACACATTTGTCTTTGCCTGCAATGTACAAGTAATTCAGTAAATAACATTGCTGTACATTTGAAAAATATTTATCCGAAAGTCAATCATATTTTTAACGGGCATATTGTTAACATGCAAATATTTTCATTTATTGTTTACAGTTTTTTATTGCTTGTTCATTGAAGGCAAAGCCTGCCCTGCAATGTACAAGCAATTAAGCCAAAAACTGTCGTATCTCTCATACCGTCCCGAAAGCAATCATGTTTTAATTAAATTTTCAAAACATTTTTTATTGAGTTCCAATACAACTAGTATTCCTAACTTCCTCTATCCGACCTAGACCCTCTTAGCTTCACTGTACTCGTTGTCGTATTTCTTTTCTCATCCCGCATCACATGTGTCCAAAAGAAAACGGAGGGCTAGCCCAGCTGCGTGGCGCTGGGTTAATGTACCTTAAATTTATTATAATACCATCCATTCTGTTCGGCGGTCCGCTCGTTCCATCCATCGGAGCCATATTCTGTGGGTTCGATGACATTTTTCGTGGCTGGCCATTGCCTATAGTTTTGCTCCGAACATTGCCCAAAACCGGAGAGTAGGAGATAAGCATTGAGTGAGCAAGAGCAGAGCAGAAAGCCGCTCGTGAGCATGAGCGGTTCTTTGAAGCCGGCTTTGCGGGCGAACTCAATTAGCATAAGTGCTGGCCAAGGTCGCCGGGGTGGGTGGCTGGCTGTATGGGGTGGCATTGACCCTATTGTCGTTGGACTTCCCATCCGCCTTTAATAGGCCTTTGTTCGCCGTTGCCAGGCGGGGGCACTCGTAGTCCGAAACGCTGAGCAGCAAGTCCATCAGCCAAGCGGAGTTGAGTCATTGAGTCAAAAAGGTTCTCTCCACCGGGAGAAGCCCAAGTCTGACTAGAAAACCTGCGAAATTCTTTAGCGTTTAAGCCAAAACTTGTTCTTGACCAAAACTATGAAATTGAGTGAGTTGCTTAGCTTTGAAATGGAATGGAATGATGTGAGCTTAGGTAGACTCTTAAAACAAACCCTTACTTTAAAGTTTGAATGGAATAAAAGCTTTATAATTTGAATGAAATTTGATATTTGATCAGTTTTCCGAAGGATTACTATATAGAAGGAAGACTAAACTAGGTTTGAAGTCAAATTCTTGAATATTTCATCCAGTTTTCGTCAGTAACTAACTCCAAACTCTCTCTTTAATCTTTCCAGTTTTACAACACAATGGAACTGCATCAACGACATCTCTCAAACTTTTACAAAATCGCACAACTGAGATAAGCACACATAAATCGTAAGAGAGAGAGAGAGAGCACACCGATCTGCCAGAGCTGCAGATCGATTTACTGGAGGCCATTGTCATAACCACCGCTAGAGGATCAGTATGCCGAACATGTCCAGCATCAAGACGGAGCAGCAGAGCGCTTCCCTTGGAGTAACTGGCGGTGGCTATCAGCTGCCGGTCAACATGTGCACCACCACCGCCTCCACAACGACGACAACGCTGGGAGGAGGATTGGGAGTAAGCGGGGGAACCACCGGATCAAGACACAATGTGTCCGTGACAAACATCAAATGCGAATTGGATGAGCTGCCCACGCCCAATGGCAACCTAGTGCCAGTGATTGCCAACTATGGCCACGGCAGTCTGCGAATCCCGCTGAGTGGAGCTCCACCACCTAATCATGAGGAGGAGTCCGATTCGGATGCAGAGCTGGCGAACATAGAGAACCTGAAGGTGCGCCGGAGGACGGCGGACAAGAATGGTCCGAGGCCCATGTCCTGGGAGGGAGAGCTGAGCGAACCGGAGGCCAATGGCGGCGATGAGGAGCTAATGGAGACGGAGCCATCGATTAAGAGCGAGGTACTAACCAGCACAGGAGCACCCCTCCAGCCTGCTTGTGCGCTGCAGCCGATCAAGACCGAGCTGGAGAACATTGCAGGCGAACTGCAGCAGCAGGGAAAGGCCTTTCCACTGACCACCGGCAGCAACACCACCTCCCAAACGCTCTCGGCGAATCCCAAACTTAAGCTGGCGCCCACGCAAAGTGATCCCATTAATCTCAAGTTTGAACCGCCGCTGGGGGACAACTCACCGCTGCTGGCCGCCCGCAGCAAGTCGAGCAGCGGTGGCCACCTGCCGCTGCCCGCTAATCCCAGTCCCGACTCCGCCATACATTCCGTCTATACGCACAGTTCGCCATCGCAGTCGCCGTTGACCTCGCGCCACGCCCCCTACACGCCCTCGCTGAGTAGGAACAACAGTGATGCCTCGCACAGCAGCTGCTACAGCTACAGCTCCGAGTTCAGCCCCACCCACTCACCCATCCAGGCACGACATGCCCCCCGGCGGGGTCACTATACGGCAACGGTGGCGTGCATCATCACAGTGTGTTGTATCGCCCACTGAAGGTGGAGGCCTCCTCAACGGGGCCACCGTCTGGCAGCCAGGAGGCACAAAATCTGAGCATGGATTCGATATCCAACGGTCTGGATCCAACGGGCTCTGGTTCATCGTTGCCCGCTTCACCGGCTGGCATTTCGCGGCAGCAGCTCATCAACTCACCGTGTCCCATTTGTGGGGACAAGATCAGTGGCTTCCACTACGGCATCTTCTCCTGCGAGTCCTGCAAGGGGTTCTTCAAGCGCACCGTGCAGAATCGCAAGAACTATGTGTGCGTGCGCGGCGGACCCTGCCAGGTGAGCATCTCCACGCGCAAGAAGTGCCCGGCCTGCAGGTTTGAGAAGTGCCTGCAGAAGGGCATGAAACTGGAGGCCATCCGTGAGGACAGGACACGCGGCGGTCGTTCCACCTACCAATGTTCGTACACGCTGCCCAATTCGATGCTCAGTCCACTGTTAAGTCCCGATCAAGCGGCTGCTGCTGCCGCTGCCGCAGCGGTGGTCAGCCAGCAGCAGCAACAGCAACAGCAGCAGCAGCAACAACATCAGCAACAGCATCATCATCAGCGACTCCAGCAGCTGAATGGCTTCGCCGGTGGACCATTCCCGGCTCAACCTCCCTGCCAGCTAGCCCGAATCTGGGTGGGGCTTCCATTAAGACGGAGGACGTGGCCACGGAGGCGGCGGGCAAGCAGAGTCTGCGAACTGGAAATGTGCCGCCACTACTGCAGGAAATCATGGATGTTGAACATCTCTGGCAGTACACCGATGCGGAGCTGGCACGCATTAACCAACCGCTGTCCGCATTTGCCTCCGGTAGTTCGTCGTCGTCATCATCCTCGTCAGCCACCTCATCGGGCGCCAACCAGGGACAACAGCCGCAGCTGACCAACCCACTGCTGGCCAGTGCTGGTCTCTCGTCCAACGGCGAGAATGCCAATCCCGATCTGATTGCCCATCTCTGCAATGTGGCCGATCATCGCCTCTACAAGATTGTCAAATGGTGCAAGAGTTTGCCGCTCTTCAAGAACATTTCGGTTAGTGCCGGCAGATGGAGTTCATTGTAGTTCCTTGGAATTAATTGTTATTCTTCATATTCCAGATCGATGATCAGATTTGCCTGCTCATCAATTCGTGGTGCGAACTGTTGCTGTTCTCCTGCTGTTTTCGATCGATCGACACTCCCGGCGAAATAAAAATGTCACAAGGCAGAAAGATAACGCTGTCGCAGGCAAAATCCAATGGGTTGCAGGTGAGTTTCAATTGGGATTAACCTTTGTTAGGGGTCATAAGAAGTAATGTATGTTATAACTATTATCCTACAGACCTGCATTGAACGGATGCTCAATCTGACAGATCACCTGCGGCGATTACGTGTTGATCGCTACGAATATGTTGCCATGAAGGTGATTGTGCTGTTGCAGTCAGGTAAGTTAGAGAGAAAAACCGCCATACACATTGTGAAGTTAATAATCTATAAATCCCTTAGATACCACGGAGCTTCAGGAGGCAGTAAAGGTTCGGGAGTGCCAGGAGAAGGCGTTGCAGAGCTTGCAGGCTTACACATTGGCCCACTATCCCGACACGCCATCAAAGTTCGGGGAGCTCCTATTGCGCATTCCCGATCTACAGCGTACCTGCCAGGTGAGTGTGTTGGAATATGCATGATAAATATCAAGAGTATTAATTTGTATTCATTTTGTTTAGTTGGGCAAGGAGATGCTAACGATCAAGACTCGCGATGGCGCCGATTTCAACTTGCTGATGGAGCTCTTGCGCGGAGAACATTGACAATTGATGATGATGACAGAAACGGTGGAAATATGTTTCCGCTGGCACAACAAGATTTACATACTTAGTATTAGATATATATTTAGTTTAGAGTTAAGTTATCTACACCTATAAGCTCTGAAAACATGTGCCTAAAAACCAAAGCCACAACAGCAGTCAGCATCAGGCCAGAGATGATGATGAAACTAGGCGCAAGCGCAGGATTGCCAAACCTTTTTATATACCAATATATATTTTGATATATGTATGGCCCTTAGATCGCTGCTGTTGTTGTTGGCTTGGAGTTTCCAGTAAGAAAAGTATATAATGTTTTTGCTATATATACACACATATACATATATTTGACTTATGTATAGAGTAAACACTAAAGCACACATGGAAAATGAAAAGACTAAACAATTTATTTAAAAAGATACTTTTAGGCATTAAGCAGAGGGCGGGGCAAAAGGACGAACGAAAGAATAGGCAGAGGAAAACCAACCACAAAAGGAAAATCAAATTAAATTTAGTTAAAGCAGCTAGCGACTTTTTATACATACATACATATATACATACGTACATGTAAGAGGGGAATAAATTCGAACTATTTTTTAATGAATTGCCAAAACCGATTTAAAGGTTTATTAAATGGAGAGGAGCTGCTAGAATTTTCGATACATATATATATCTATACATTAATATTGAAAACGGATAGTGAAATCCAACTTTTAAATGTTGTAGCATTTAGTTTTTAGTGCAATTTCACCCTTGTCTACTTATAACTATATATATATATACAGCCAGATATGGCCACAAAACTATATACAAAAAAAGACCACTCGAAATCGCCAGCTCTCTGGCTGGCCAAGACTATTCCAGTGATGCTAATTTGTTGCATAAAAAACACACACAACTACATACATAAATCAAATTTATAATCATTTTTCGATATGTACTTTAGTTTCGCATTAATTTGTTCATTAATTAATTCATTACGTTTATGGTGTAACTTTTACTTAAATAGCTGAAGCAAATCCTGCAACAGGATTTAAAACATTTGTGAGGAAAACAATTAATTACAATTATCGAGAATCATTTTTTGCTTATAAACTAGATAGTTAGATATGTATGTCTATATGTGAGTACGTTAACTGTAAAGCTCTTCCTGCCCCACCAGAAAAGCAAATAAAAACAAAAAACAAAACAATTGTAAGACACATGAAATTCCAAATAAAATAAAAAACATAAACCTACAGAAAGGGAGATCAAAAGATCAAGATATACTTAACTTCAAAAGACAGGAGGTCATATGTGATCCTGCGGTGTATCGTGATTTTCTTTATTTAAATAAACAACAATTATTATTTATTCTTAAACATTTTGCCATTTAGAAATCCATCACTTTTATTTAATACCTTATCGAATGTATAATTCTCTGTTAATATCACGACCACGATCTCAGTTCATATCGATCCTGACCGCCTGTCTAATCCCGCTGCTGTCCGTAAATGTAAACCTAAACTTAAATTGAAAATAGTTAAATGTTAATGTAATAAAGAAATCGACCTAACTAAATATCAATATACAGAGTACCATAGTTAAATAAAGAAGAAGCAACACACACAGACACACAAAAATATTTAAGACCAATCAACAAAATCAATCAAAAGTATCATATAATTTACGTATCAAGAATAAATATTGTAAAATCACGAATTCGTCGGCGTTTTTTAAGGACAGATTCTACTACTTAAGCCCATTGCTTAAGTGCCCAGATTCTGCTTAAAATGGATAACAAAAACACAATTGTTTCAGTTTTATAAACTTTTATTTGTGTCACATGTTTTGATTTCGCCACCACAACTCATCCCCCAACATAGGAAATATATCGTTTGCTTTTAAATAAATGTAATTATTGAAATATAAAAAGAATAAATTGGTCAACAATTAAACGTAAATTGTCAATGCAATATTTTGTAATAAAAAAAATATGAAAAATGCAAAAATATGTATCAATTTGAAAATGGAATTGTGGGTTTGATAAATGGAACTTTACAAGACATCCCATTAAATGTAAGTTTAACCAATCATTTTAGCTATTTAATAATTATAAATCTATTCAGAATACGAACATTTATAGAAAGCAAGAAGTTCCCTTTTGTTTCGAATTGAATTCGAATTTTATTATATTTAAATAATTGTCATATGATTTTGAAAGAATGTATTAATGGTTAGCCGTTGCTCCTTCGGTATATATTTGTAGGTTGCATATCAAAATATTCCAAAATTATATTTTTTTCAATTCGGTACTAATGACTTCTTGAATTTTTTTGTTCAGATTGGTAAAATCACAATCCTTGCGTCAGTGCTTTTCCTTAAATACTGCCACAAGGTGGTGGTATGCAAATACTGTCACAAGGTGGTGGTATGCAAATACTGCCACAAGGTGGTGGTATGCAAATACTGCCACAGGTTGTGGGTTGTGGCATGCAACTGTAGGAAAAGTAAACGTTAAATAAATGTTTATACTGGGAAGACAGGCAACACAGCAACTTACTCCATTGTTTCGCAACATGGCGTATTTGAGCCCTCCAATGAGCAAGATCCAAGGAGGCTGGAGTTTCCAGCGCAGGGGGGACCTCCCTGCATGCCAGAATTGCAGGTATTAGGATCCTCCGCATAGTGATCGCAAAATGGACGGCTACAGGTATCCATGGTGGCGGATGGAGGTATATAACGGTTGCCATCAACCGGAAATGGCAAGCAGTGTGGTAAATTCGATAAGGGACCATATCCGCCACAGGAGGAGCAACCGCCGCAGGGCCCGCATCCGCCGCCCAGTGGCAAGTCCTGCCAACAGCAGCCGCCATAATGTTGATACAAATGGTTGCACACAGTCATGACTGGCTTGTAGTCCCTCCGGTAGACGGTGCAATCCTGGAGTGCATCGTTCAAGAAGCAACCGTTCATGCAGTATGTGTTCATGCAACAATTGTCCATGCAACTGTTGTTCACGCAACTATTGTTCGTGCAGCCATTGTTATTGTTATCACATTGATTGGTGTTGCATCCATTGCCGCAGCCGTTCCAGCAGATCATCGGTGGACAAGTCAGTTGTGGCTGGCAGCACGAAGGTCCCGAATCACAGCAATCATTTTCGGGTTCATCACAAGTCATGTGACAGTCTGGTTCTGGCATAATGAATCCCCGATCGGATGAACACGATGGCTTCAGGTCACTGCAACCGGAAGTCCCTGAGCATGTGCTTCGGAGTGACCCATGAGAAGAGCTCTTGGAACAGGTATCACCTGCAATACGAACCTTGAGATGTTTTCGTTTTAAACTGCCGCAGCTTGGCTTCGGTGAGCAAGTCCTGCAGTCCATTTGATGTGATGCGCCATTGAAAGGACATGGGCGAGTATCGTTGAGTAATCCAGTTAGTGGTGTCTTTTTCGCGGTGCAAAAAGAAGTTAGACGCAAACCGTTGGCAGCAGCCTGTCCAAAACCATCACTTGATAATCCTGCCCAATTATCGCTGACCAGTTGATTATCTCCCTGGCTGCAAACGGATTTACTGGAGCATACGCTTTTAATCTCCTCCTGAGATGTGTATCTGTAGTAGTTATCGTTGAAGATGTTGTACCTCGTCGGACAGTCTCGGGAATCGGGGCCAACGGATGTCTGCTGATAGTCAAATCTTTGATCGGAAGGATACGGCTGTTGACACTGGTCCGGAAGTCCGGGATAGTTGAATCCAGTTGAGTAGCCGGAAAAGTTTTGATCGCCATAGTATGGACTCTGGGAGTAGAACGATTCATTGTACATTTGTGGCTCGGCGAAGGTAACATTGTTTGTTTGTATGGCATAGCTGGGAGAGCCTAAAAGAGATGCTAATGAAGTTATGTCCTGACATGTTCTTATTCTAAGCTTACCTCCATTTAAGGTGCTATCAAACGATGAACAATTTCCACTCCTCCTGTTAATTTGTCCAGATGCAATCCGGACAGGATTGGTGAGCACATTATGGTGTCGACGTCCGCCTACAATGGGAATGCAAGAAAATTGAACTCTTGGCCCACAGATTTGATAGGTCTGCAGGGGAGTCGCACAGAGGAACGGTGCTAGATTCCGAGCCACTGGCCTAATACAATTTGGACTTTTGGTTTTCTCGGTGCTTGGGTTTTTCAATATTGATGGGGGCGCAGGTTTTTCATTTTTTGCTGCTGCTGTTGGAGGTACATAGGTTTTGTACATTTCATCCAAGCTGTGGATTGTTTTCATGGTGTGCATGTTTGCCTCATTTTCCTCGAAGCTTTTTGATTCCCGGATGTTGGAACGATCCATAGCTCTGTTTCTGTGTCTCTTTAACTGCACATTTATGAAAACAAAACAAAATTGGGACAGGACCGACAACAAAATATGAATTTTTGACAATTATTTCAAAATAATATGAGAAAATGTTTGCTCACTAGAACATACAAGTGTTTAGATTATATTTTTTCTAGAGAGCTTTCCTCCAGGAAAGTCAGTGCTTAGATATGATTTCTGCAGCCGATTTGATCTAGATATTACTTATCTTAACTTGTCTTTTGTATACTTACAAACATTTGTTTGTCCATCGAAGTTTATAAAAAAATACGCACGTGAACAGGTGTATTCAAAGTTTCTGGCCACAATTAATAAATAAAGAAACCATATGTTTGGGACACCTGGCTTTAGACTATAAAAAACACAGAGTAAGGCTCAGGTGCAAGGAGGAAAAGAAAAAGAAAAAGTCTGGAAAATGCATTGTTTCAGATATATTCGCGATCGTGCTATTGTTTAAATCTTATTAGTATTGTCTTTGTACATAGTTCTATAAAAGCAAAGTCTTGGATTTCAAAAATCAGTTGAGTTCGATTATCCGAAAGAGTGTTAATTTAAAATGAAATTTCTCTTGATTTTGTCCTGTCTCGTCCTGTACGTTGCCCTTACATGTGGGCAGGACCATTGTAGAGGCCGTCCTGGTAATTGCACTCTTAACTTTATCCCAAATTCATTTTCATAACGAAATTGAATTATTCACAGGTCACCAGGACTGCGATGGTGGACGGAACGAAGGAGTTCACCATGCCCATGGTTGCGATCCTGAACCCAATCCTGTGATGTGGTACTATAACCGAGCCACTAGGGAATGCCTAAGGATGTCCTATCGAGGCTGTCATGGTAACAGCAATCGCTATTGCTCCAAGGATCACTGCGAACGCAGTTGTCGTCGTCGGAACTAAGCCCAATTTTATACTTCTTCAATGGCATAAAGCATTTCTTTTCTTAATAAACTAATATATAATTGCAAAAAATCAAACAAACCTAAAAAAAGAAGATGTAAAAAATGATTTTAAAATTTTTCCACTAAAAAAAAGTGTTTATTCCATTCCTTTTTTTCCAGCAATTCCTACTTTATAAGGCTTTAACAATTTGAAGTTTTCAAATCTAACGGTATTTTTGTATGACCCCAAGCCCACAAGAAAAATATATTTTTAGTATTTTTTGAACATACCAAGAGCCTACGACGTTTTGCAGTACTTATGCAATTTTGCATTTAACAACACTGTTTTGAACATTGATAGTATCGATAATTAAACAGATGTTTTGAGCCCAACCAACTTACGAAATTCCATAAAAAGCTACCCAAAAAGAGATTTTCCTTGCAAAATGAATGGAAAACTAATGCAGAGTGCCATCCGCGCCTTGCGGCTGGGCAGCTGCAGCCAGTTGCAAGCGTCCGCTGCCCGGATCACAGTGCGCGCCTACGGTAAGAGCAGAATCCGGCCTCCACACCTGGACACATATTTCATAACAAGCCGGCGCTCTGTTCTTCAGCCACGCCGCCGAAGAGATTCTACAAGAAGACGTCTGTGCTAAGCAGCGACGCGGGTTACGAGGTGGTGCTAGATCACCGGAAGCTAAAGACGCCCAAAGGCACACCGTTCGTAGTGCGGAGCGAACCGCTGGCCATCGCCGTGGCCACAGAGTTTGACGCACAGAAAGAGCACATCGAGCGTTCCCGGATGCACCTCTCCGCGCTCTGCTTTACGGCTATCGACAACCCCAACAATCTCACCAAGCTGGACATGGTCAACTACCTGCTGAACTTTATCCCCACCGACACGGTTCTGTTCCAGTATGATGTAAGTGGAAGCATTTCAATCACACATTATCAATCGTCCACTAATCCTTATCCGTTGCAGGACGAGAAAGACCTACAGGACCTGCAGCTGAACGAGTGGGACCCGGTGATTGCGTGGTTTAATCAGCGCTACGAGACGAACCTGCAGAAGACCCTTAACATCACTCCGCCGCAGGTCAGCGAGCAGGACAAGATGAAGATTGCCAAGCATTTACACTCCTACAGCCTGGATACGCTGCATGGTAACATTTATTCTGTTTAGGGGTTCTCTACGCATATTTTCAAACATATCCTCGTTTCTTTTAGGCTTCATCTTCGCGGTGGACACCCTTAAATCAATTATTTTGGCCTGTGCCGTCATCGAGCGGATGTTGCCGGTAGAGAAGGCGGTGGCCTTGGCGCGGCTGGAGGAGGAGTACCAGCTCAAGTTCTGGGGACGTGTGGAATGGGCCCACGATCTCAGTCAGCAGGAGCTGCAGGCCCGTCTGGCGGCAGCCGTACTGTACGTACACCTCAATTGTTCGGAGTACTTTGTTAAGCAAAAATCGGTTCTGTAAATAAAGATTGTAAACTAAAATTAACAATTTCTTGATTCTATTGATAACTTGGTTAACCATTTATTGCGGAATTCAAACAAAAGATTGCACAAATAATGTATTTAAATTGACATTGTTTTTTATATTTATCTAGAATAATATTAGTTGTACCTTTAAGGCCTACAACAATTTATGCAGCCCATAACAATTATGGCAATTGGCTTAAAGCCATGGCTTTTAGAAAAACTTCGATAACTTTCTATTTTATTAATTAAATCAATAGGTCGCCATTTGTTAAAATATAAACAAGGGTTATTTAAACGCTAAACAGTTAATGGTAGTAAACTTAAGTGATTAAGAAATTACGCGCCATTCCTCTTCTCGGGAAGTAAAAATATCGATGTATCGCCATATCGATACGATAGTAAGGTCTTTTAGTCTGTTATCGACTGATTTAAGTATTACATCTTTTAAACCCGTCTCAAATAGCTAACATTTCGCCCTTATTTACACGCTAACGAGAGAATTGTTAATTTACGCTCACTTCGAGCACATGGGAGCAGATCTGTCAATGAACTTTACTTTCCTACATGAGAATTCTAACCGAAAGGCGAGAATTCTACCTCATGTATGTAAAATGAGTATCTACACGTGTAAAAATAAACAAACATGTCAAAACATCGATAGTGCAAAACAGGAAATCGATAGAGAAATCGAATTTTCCCCAGCTCTAGCTTAGAGGTGCAAATCATCGATTACAAGTTTTGCGCACCTCTATCATATTTCGCTCAAAATTTCGTTCGGTCGTGGGTGGCGCATTAAACAATTCCAATTAAACAAATGCAAAGTTACTGTACAATCGCCAGTTGAGTCGAGCAAATAACCAAGTGGCGAGTGGAGCTCGCTCTAAATCCAGCAAATCAATCAAAGTCGTGGCCGTTGTTGTTATTGCGTTTTGGTAAGCAGCGTCGTTTACGTGCGTGTTTTGAGTGCTACGGTGCGTTGGTGTGAGTGCTTTTCACCAGAAAAATGTTAATTAAAGTGCTGCCAAATCAAACAGAGAAGAATTTATACAATCGCATTCGTGTTCAAACCGAAATTTTGCAAAATGCGACGAAATCGCAGAGCTGAAGAAGAAAAAGAGGAAGAAAAAAGAACAAAACTGTGTTTGTTGTGCGGGGGGTGCTCATCTCTTCTTCCTCTCGCTCTTACGTTCTCTTGCACCCCTGCCTTCTCTCCCTCTCTCTCTCTAACTCGCTTCGCAAAGTGGAAGTGGAAAAACCAGCGGCAGTAACAACAACAATAGCTGTAGCAGCAGCAGCAGCGGTGTGTCTGAAATCGTACACTCTCAGCTCAGAACACTTTGCAGCTAAATTGTATTTCAATAATTGTTAAAACAGCAGTTAAAACAACAACAAGAATAGGTATTTTTGCAAAAACAATTAAAGCAAACGACGTACGACGCCCTTTCGAGGCAGTTATTGTGTTTCGTTGTCGCTGTTGTTGCATTGGCGCTGCCACCTTGTTCGATTTTATGCTGCTGTTGTTGTTGTTGCCTTTTTTTTATCGCATTAACAATTTGAAAATTGCCTTCGCTGCGCCGCTGCTGCTGAGCTATTTGTTGTTGTCGCCACCGCTGTCTTTTGTTTGTGCAAAAGTGTGTTTAATATTTGATTTTCGCTTGTCTGTGTCTCGCCTCCATCGAATAATAAGCTGCTTGCAACGCCCCCGAAATTGGAAATTCTCTATGCACAACTCAGTGGGTGCGCGCGGGTGTTTCTCCTAATTTAATAGGTAAGTCAAAGCAAGAGAACTTTGTTAATTAAAGTTTTGTTATTGGAAAATATAAAAGAGTTTCTTTTAGAGTCAAATTTTAGCTTGAACACTTCTAATCAGATTAGAATGCCTTGAAACTAGCATTTCCTATAAAGAAAATTGGTCTTCAACAATATAAGACATATGGCAAAATGTTCTTACACTTCTTATAATTTACCGAATTTAATAAAATGTATATTTTTCTTACTGAACATTTTAATTAAATCACATGCAATTCCTGAAAATTTATTGAACAGAATAAATGCACATACAATGTACATTTTAATCCTGTGATTTCTCTACATTTTAAACGGAAAATCATTTACATATAGATTTTATCTATCGATTCCCCTTGCTTTTCATTCGCAATTCGTTCTAAATTTATAGAAACTGCCATTTTCTGCAGCATTTTTAAAAACGTGGCAGGCATTGGCAATTTCAGCCTAATTTGTCATGCATACCAAAGCCTAAAAAACAAATCCCCTTCACATATGCGATGAGACCTCCTCAATCCACGCGCTTAACTTTGTAAAATATGTTATGTTCATTGGAGGAAATAGCGCTATAAATAGCATCGAGAACATCGAGGAGGCAGACAGCTCCGAAAGGCTTTTTGGCTCGGGCTTCGACTCGAGGACGCCTTGCCCTGGGGCCTTGTCTGGGGCATCTGAGCTTGAAATGAGCAATTCAATTTGCCCGGCGGTATGCTATGGCATTTCCTTCATTCCGTAACCAAAAACTGGGTAGAGAGTGCGAAAAATGTTGCGATAATCAAATCAAATCAGCGCACCAATGAGGTTAAACAGGGGAGGACAACCCTGAATTGGTCGTTCAGGAATATGACTTCGTCTGCGGCTCTCTAATGAGGATGCATTCAATTAAATTCAAATTTTTCACTTGCATGTGGGCGCACAACACATCATACACGCTTAGCAGCACCAGAGTTTTACAGTTTGGTTATCTATATGATATAAGTGGAAATTCTATATGTTTTAGTAAGCAGCTACTGCTGGAACTTGTTATCGTAATCCTTTAACCAGTTGATTTAGTGGGCCCCTATAAGGGTAAACGTGAGTTTACATAATGGGTTTTTAAATAATAAACAATTAACTAAAATGATAGCCCTAGAATGTCGAGACATGAATCTAAAACTCTCTTAAATTAATGAATATCTAACGTTCTTTACTAGATCCCTCTGGAAGTTTAGCCTTGCTATCAGCTTGCAGTTCAATCAAACCCTGGACGGCATTTATCATTTGCCGGAAAAGATCAATTTGTAGACCAGGACCGACGCCGGGTTGGTTTGTTGCAATTAAATTGCTTAATTACTTTGCTCTCAAATGCTCGAATGACAATCGACTAGGACAGCAAACAGATACAGATATTTAGTTGTACAAATCGTTGCAGTATTAATTCCCTAGAAAGGGGTTCAAAGCTCTTGGAGCAACCCAGTTCCCAGGGCCAGTTAGGGAGAAGAAATGGTACGGCCAGATGGAGATGAGGATGGTATGGAAAAGGGGGAGGAGGAGGAGGAGGAGGAGGAAGGTGCCCCAGAGCTTGTGGAACCAGTCGGACAACATTTGGCGATTTGAATGTCGCTAAGAAGATGGAAAGCAAAGCGAACAATTCTCCCTATGCCCGCAATGTATCTAAGTATCTTTGGATTCTACATGTATTCGTGTTTGTGCTTCCCCTCTGTCTCTTTGCAATTCAAGTTCATAGCTTATAGCTTTTTTTTCGTTAGTTTGCTGAAAGAAGCTCGCTGATGAAACATAAGATGGTGGAGAAAGAACAGCTGGAGTTCTTGCATATATAATTTCATCTTCGACTTTGAATTGCTTTTTCACAGTTTTCGTTATTCATATATGTACATAGTAAATGTGTACATATCGAACGAAATTATTGGCTTTTTTTCGGTCGAATTGTTTATATAAACCGAAAATAAAGTGGCGAATGTGTGGGCGTAGAATGTTATTGTTATTATAATTATTAAAGTGGGTTTCTGGCACTTGAATAGATATACTTTTTCACTGCTGCGCGTATATATTTTAATAGAAAAGTAAGCAATTTTTAGATAAGCTTTTTAAATCCTCATGTGAGGTAATCCTTGTATATCCTCTTTATGTTTTTAAGAGTATTTGAATTGGTTTCCTTTACATTCCATCTTTCCTTATCAACCCACTTGACAGTCTCTTTGGTAGTCATTTTGCTATCATCAACCTGAAGCTCATTATGAACGCCTCAACATAACTTGCATCATCTTTGGCTGGCAGGTGGAAAAAGTGCTTCCGACTTCCGTGTGAATGCTACATTTTCTGCTTTTCCTTTCCGTTGCGTTTGTGTTGCGTTGCGTTGCCTCAAAGGCAAAACAAGTCACTTGGTATTTCCTTGACATCGCTTAGGAGGACGACAAACCACCCCAAACCATGGCAAACACCACAAACAACAGCTTATTGATTTTCTACAACAACTTTGTGATGTTTAAACAGCAAATTAGTTCAGTTTGTTTGCCTGTCGTGTGCCGACCACGCGTCAAATGAGTTTTTCCCGCTCTAGAGCAAGGAAGGGGGATTCCCCGTGACGATGGAGAGTGGGGAAAAACCACCACATTCATTCATTTACCTGTGGGCGACACGCCTCGTTTGCTTCCAGGAATCGCCTGAGCTCGTGCCCGTTCCCGATCTGTTGGACAGGTGTAACAACTTTCGGGGGTTGACATGCAAATTATAAAAAAAAGGAATTTTCAAAGAGTGGACCATAGGTGGAATGGCTTCATTTTTGGTGGGGGTTTTGGGTAAAATCAATTATTTTGTTTGTGGGTCAACATTTCTTCCTGTCCTCTGTGAGTGTGTTACGTTACGTTATGGTTAAACCACCTGAAAGTTTTTTCCTTTATGTGTACTGGGCGCCCCTCCTCACACCTTTCTCCCCCGTTTTAAGGGGGCGCTGAACTTTAAAAGAAAAGGCAACCGTTTACACTGCACTACACGACAGGCAGACATCTGGCGATTCAACGCTCACTGCACTCGAAGTCCCTACACTAATTTGCATTTTTGGCGAACCCCAAGCATTCCCGCCGCCTGCGCCTTGGTATTTTGAAATATCATGTGCTCCCTCTCCCTCTCTCCTCTCTCTTATTTTTGTTGATTCGTTGTATATTTTTAGCTTTTTGTATGTCTGATATAAAAAAGTGTTTCAGAGAGCGGCAAAGTCAGTTTCTTCTTCATTTCATACCGCTTCCGTTGGGTGGCGTTACGCTTGAATTCTGAGCGATATCAGAGGAAGCGCGTGCTTGTCTTGGTTCCGGTTTGAAATAGAAAAGATACTATATTATTCATAAGAGTTGTAAAATTAAAGAAAGGGAGAAGAACCGAATATTATATCAGTATTACTCTGGTTATAATATTTATAAGTTGATCTTAACTTTGTGTTACTTTTCAATCTTAATGTGCTTGTAAGACTTAAAAACAAGAAGTTATTTCAGGTAATTTAGCCTTTCCTATTTGGGGTTTTAATATCTTTATCTTTGTTACTTGAACACTCAATTTCCCCCTCTAATGTCTCTCTTTATTTCTTTCCTTTAACCCAAAATTAAATTAGAGATCTAAACTCAATTCAACTTACTTTCATTTGATTAGATTTCTATTCTAACAAGCCTCAGCTCTGGACTGAATTTGTCAGCTTCAAAGTTAGTTTGCTATTTATTCGTTTCTCTTGTTCGAATGATCAGTCTTTTTCCGCTCTAACCTCTCGTTAGCTTATTTAATTTTATTTGAAATTCGAATTCCAATTCATTGTTTGTTGCTTTTCAGTGCTTTTGCACTCGCAAACTGAAAACTGGAAACAAGTTTTTGGGTCTTTTATTTTGGTTTTGCTCTAATTGCTTTAAAGTTTTTTTTTGAAATCATTTCGCATTAACATAAAATATGTGTAGGGTTGTCTGAGTAAATTTTTGCCTGTGTCTGGTGTTTCTTTCTGCTCTTTGTTGTCTCTCCTCTGAATATTCAAAATTCGATTGTGCATTTTTATTAGCCAAGGTCGTTTCGGTTTGTTAAATGCTCACTGGGGATTAATTTGTATTTTTGGAATCTTATCAGCCAAGAGAAAAGAGATTAGGCTGTGTGTATAATCAAACGATTTTCGTATTACCTTATCATTACCGGGTACACTGTCTTTCCTGTTATCTCGTTTCGTCTTTATCAAAAGGAAACCGTCACACATTCTCTCCAATATCACCAAAGCTGCTGCTGGTTCGGTTTGTTATTATTATTATTTTTTATTTCCATTGTTTGATTTCAAGCTGCTTGCTTTTGTTTTTTTAATAGCTTTTTTTTTCTTTTGTTCGAACCTCTCTTATCTACCTGGGTACAAATGCCCATAAAGTTAGGTTCTAGGAATGAACAAATTGTGTATATGACTAAATGTTTTAAGTGCAAAAAGATATCGATAAGATCGTTATAGAGTCTTAGATAAGGCTTGTAAATTGTGTGTATACTTTATCGGTGTACTTAAAAATTTATTGGTTTAGGAGATAGTTGAAGGGGAATTTGCTTTTTTGTTTTCAAGAAAGAGTAATTAGCTTCCAAGAACTAATCTATTTTCATTATTTCTTCGATTTGTATTAATAACCTTTACTTAGCAACATTCCCAAGACGTCTCTAGGTGGCGATGCCGTTAATGGAACACCTAAATATTCAAATGAACTTTTGGTAGTCACAATGCCTTAACTTTTCCCACTCGGCGGTCTTGTAAGTAAGCATTTTCTTCGTGTGAAGTTTACACTTACGACATTTTGCCGTTTTAACTGTGAGAAAATCTGAGATGCTTTCTTCTCTTACCTCTTTCTTTACCTGGCTGAAAACAAGTTCCATTAGCTTCTCATTCTGTCTAGAGTTGGGGTTTTTGGGGAAGCTTTTTTCCTATTCGTCGTCCGTCTCTTTTGGAGGTTATTTTATTTTCAATTGCCCAATATTAATTTC